ATCAAATTGAACTTATTAAAAGGATTGGGATTGTCCATAATAACGAGAGCTCCTTGCGAAGAATTAGCTTACTTAACTTTTGAAGGCATAATGGTGCATATTGTGTTGTCACCGATTACAAAGTCGCTTGATTTAAATGTTTGCGATTTTCAAATTGACAATCAGCTTTTAGAGACTACATGTCCCATAATGTATTACGTAACAAAGTCGAGTACAGAAAATGCTCCAAGGGATGCTATAACTTGTAAAGCAAAAGTTTTACCGAGTCCAAACAAAAATGCAGTTATATTTGAACATCTGTCTGTACATATTAAGCCTTGTGCAATACTTTTAGAAGAACGATTGATATTAAAAATGGCATTGTTCCTCGGATATGGAAAGACAAATAACAATTTCACACATCAAACGGAATCAATGGTATATCGATTTGATGAATATCCGTTTTCGAAAAACGCAAAGAGATATTATTTCGAAAACCTCATTCTAGGTGCAACACAGGTATGTCTACAAAGTTGTATATATTATTGTATAAGTGTTTCAATGCGCGCAACTATAGAAAAAAACAACTATAAATTTTCTTTAATAATTCCTTCGCAAATATAATAATAACTAATTCTAAGTTTCAACTTAGGCGGTAATGGTTAAGTTCAAATTTCATATTTCTAAATAATACACCTAGCCAAAGATCGTTTAGTATGGAATATGAAGAGATGTATTCTTGAGCGCAAAAATTACCTACAACTCTTGCGTTAAGAAATTCTAAATGAAGTCAACATCGTTATTAAGTTAAAACGCCAATCTTTTCAGAAATTGTTACCAGCATACCTATCTGTCTATACATATTTTTCTATTTTCCAAAAAATAAATTAATTAAATTAAATTAACCAAAAATACTCATTACAAATCTGGTTACCAATAAGTAGTTTTTTATAGCCTATAAATACCAATATAATTAAGTCGATAATTAATAATTGGTTGCTTACGATTTGTAATGAGTGTTGTTTTAATTTTACGCACCTACCATTTTACTGTTGCGCAATTCGATTGAACTTGGTTTATACCAGCAAATAATAACCAGCAAGAAAAGCCCAAAATTCGGTCCGAATGCATGACACACCATGTTTATATGGGAGCTATATCTTTATTTAAATCTATGCGATATATGACTTCTCGTACCAAATATCATTACTATAGAGCTAATATTATGACTTCGAGGAGGCTTAAAAATGAAATCGAATAAAACTTAAATATGGGAGCCACAGCTATATCTGATTTAACTTGATTGTATAATAAAAGTTCAGCCTAATTGGTTGATGTTGCAAGTACTTAAAATTAGAGAGAAACACACATGGGAAATATATATAAAGTTAGCTGGAGAATTTCCAACCAATTTCCAATTATATTCCAAACTACATCGTTATTTAGCCCATATTTGATTTTACGGGACTTAACCTTTAACTGTAGACGTGAAATTTTGGGACGTATTTTATTACGTTGTGGTAAATTTTACCCATCTTAATTTAAAAAAAAAATATTTATGTAAAATATTTTTGTTTGATAATTTTTTGTTTTATAAGTAAAAGCATGCATATTTTTAATTAAAATAAGTAAAAACAAAAGAATAGCGGAAATTAAACAAAACAGTAGAAGAGAGAATTTCAACAAAATATGAAGGGAGGGTAAAATTTACCACCACCTGGTTAGTTAAATGTTAAACACCAAATTGGACGAAACGAAATATAAGGAAGCTTTTAGCTATATCGTAGCCAATTTTGCTTTTGGACTTAATTTGGTCGTGTGTACCAAAATCGATTCTATTTGGTCAGATATAACACACATTGTGGTTAATTATTTTATTTATTTTTTTTTTGTCAATATTATTTACACCGGCGAATCGGATAAAGAATACAGTTAAAGTATTCCAAATGTAAACGTTATATGGGGCTATACGAAACGCAAACCAACAGAGACAAATTTCTGCTACGGGGGTTAGTATGTATCGCGAGTTTGAACTACTTAATATGAAACAATTTCTACAAGGTTGGTATCTACTGCGAGTTTTAAGTATCAAACTTGAAACAGTTATGTTGTGGGTAAATACTAAACTGTGTACCTAAATATACTATTGCATGTGGACTATAGGAAAATTAATTGCCATAACGAAATCGAAATACCGAATTTGAAACAATTCCGTTAAAAAATACAGCTGAATTTGGCAAAATTCGGTGGGGAACATTTTTTCTAACGATGAGCACTGAGTCGATTTCGGTATTATATGTTTCAGACATTAATTATTATTTTTCGAATTAATTATAATTTTTCTTTACTTAAGCAAACAATTTCTCGATTTCTGTTTAACGAATAACATCTACCTACATCATGTTTTAGTTATAAGTACTGTACAAAAAACATCGGAAATTAAATCTTAAATCTTCAATAATAATAAAAATAAAACAAACAAACAAACAATCATCTAATTAAATATTTTTATTTGAACAAATAGAATTAAGCTTTTTTTAATACGAAAAGATCAGTATTCGTACATATGTGGCTTATTGTATGCACAGGATGTCAAAAAACCCCGTTGGTAGCAAAACAATTATTTTAAATTAAATAAAAATATATTTTCCATTGTGCGACTAAATAAAGTAAAAAAAGACAAAACAAAATAAACCACAAGTAACATCAACAGCGTGTAACTGACCGGTTTATTTTTATAGAAAACAAGTTAAAAAGCAGTAAGTTCGGCCGGGGCGAATCTAGAATACAATCCACAATTTGGAACGAATTTGGAAATTTTTAGAAAAATAAAATCCGTTAAAAATTCTGTTAAAATCTTAAAAATACCGAATATAGCCCTTATCTTGGGGTCAATGCGATGACATTGTTTGTTATAAGCCATTACCATATTATAAACGGTGAATAATGCAGCATCACAAAGTACCGTATATAGGGAGGTACCGTTATATAGGAGGATATCTGAACCTGCATAGACAATTTTCTGTCACAGGCTGTAGCATCCATTACGAACCTCAAATACGACATCTTAAACAATTTCGGTGATTTTGTACCTAAAATCGTCAAAATACCGAATATAGGGAGGTACTGATATATGGGGCCTATGCAAAGACCTGGACCTGCATAGAAAATTTTGTGTCACAGACTGTAGTTCCCATTACGAACTCTAAATACATAATTTGAAACTACTCCGGTTAATAATGACGCTAAAATCATCAAAATACCGAATATAGGGAGGTACCGTTATATTTTCTGTCATAGGCTGTAGTATCCATTACGAACTGCGCATACCAAATTCTAAACATTTCCGGTTAATAATGTCGCTAGAATAATCAAAATAACGAATATTGGGAGGTACCGTTTTATGGGGGCTATACGAAGATGTGGACCTGCACAGCCAATTTTCTGTCTTAAGCTGTAGTATTCATTTCGAACTTCAAATACCAAATTTGAAACCATTCCGGTTAATAATGCCGCTAAAATCATCAAAATACTGAATATCGGGAGGTACCGTTATATGGGGGCTATACGAAAACGTGGACTTACATGGCCCATTTACGAACTTAACCTGCCTACTGGAAAAATAAACATGTGTGCAAACCTTTTTAGCCTTTTATCTCAATTCGTTCGAAAGATAGCGTGATTACAACAGACGAACATCGCTAAATCGACTTAGAATTTAACGCTGATCAAGAATATATATACTTAGTTGCGTCTGACATGAGTATTTCCAGGAGTTACAAACGGAAAGATAAAGTTAATATAACCTCCATAGTATAGTGGAGGGTATAAAAATAAATATTTAAATTGATCACCATCACAACAACAACACTACCAATTCGTTGACATTTATAAACTCATAAAATATCATTCATTGGCCAGCCAAACCTACCCCACTCACTCCAAAAGATCTTTGGTTACACAGCGCAAGGTAGCCGAAATTTTAAACAAAATATGTGTAGCTATTACAACAAAAACAACAACAACCAAATTGTCAAAATGAAATGTATAATATTAAATGAATGAAAAAGAAAAAAAAAATGTCATACAACTGTTTGCTTATGGGATACGATGATAGTGATAGATTCGAAGTGTGTGTAGATGCGAGGGAGATACTGAAAATTTTGAAGGGGATTATATATCATAGCCCGGTTTTCGTGATTTTTTCACGGCAATTTATATAAATAACAAATGGCTCAGCTCGGTAGAGAAGCTCTACCATCTTTTTCAAAAAAAACGAGCGGAGAAGCGAGGGAAATAAACCGTCATATTCCTTTATCGGTGGAAGGTTTTACGATTGCCTAGGACAACCTGCGTAACCATTACGAGAATAAAAGAATCTAGATAAATTCTCAGTTAAGAATCTTGTTTAATTTGACTCATTGCGGGCAAGAAACTGCATGTTGTCTCAAAAAACTGCAGTGAGATGTGACAAATTGTATTGCGATTCTGGAGCTATACAAAATTGACGTAAAGTCATGGGATCCAATTTTTGTTTACCAATGTTCTTCTAAGATGCCATAGTAAACTCTGTCTCTATGGGAACAGTCTTTGGTAAAGAAAACCGAGCTGCCTCGTTGGGAGGATTTCAATAAATTGCTCACATAGAGATTTCAGTCCATAGAGAGCGTATCAGAAATGACTTCCTCAAATGTGGCTCAACAAAATCAGGGACCTAGGCAAAAGTTTACCCAATTCGATAAACCAAAAAATTTTAGGGTTCATCACAATAATGTAAAGGAGAATAAATGTAATTTGTGTAGGGGGTCTCATTATTTGAAATCTTTTCCAAGATTCTTGAGCATGGATTTTAAGCGCAGGTTAAATGTGGTAAAGCGAGAGAACAAATGTATGAATTGTTTGACTCTGGGTCATAGAGCAGCAGAATGCAAAAATCAAGGTTGTACAAAGTGCAAAACAAAACATAATATACTTTTGCACAAGGAAAAACGCTCAAAATATTGTCTCTCATTTAAATGAAAGCCCCAATCTGTCTCAGTTGTCTATGTCGATTCAAAATTTATCATCTGGCCCAACAACAAATGGAAGAAATTTTCACACATCTGTGTCGAATAAAACCATGCTTGCCACGGCATGGGTAAACGTTTTAAAAAGCGGGACTTCGTTCAAAATTCGTGCATTAATTGATCCTTGCTCGGATGACACTTTTATTTCCTCACGCATGCAGAAAATGTTGAAGCTACCAACAACTTCTGTCTACGCCTATATTACCGGAATGGGTGGTGGACACTTGGCCAGGTGCACCAAAATTGACTAAGTCACGATTGGATCACTAAAAATAGTTTTTCTTAAGATTTGGAGGCTTTTGTTGTCCCAGAGATAACTGGAGATATTCCTACGCAGCCTTTGGATAAAATCTCTATCGATAAGTTGCCGGTTATGGATTTAGCTGATCCGAAATTTTACCGAAGTGCACCAGTTGATATCTTACTTGGTGGAAACGTTTATCCGAGTATTTT